ATGGATGGATGGATGGATGGATGGATATGTGATATGTGGATGGATGGATATATGGATGGATATATGGATGGATGGATGGATGGATGGATGGATGGATGGATGGATGGATATGTGAATGGATGGATATATGGATGGATGCATGGATATGTGGATGGATGGATGGATGGAAGGATATGTGGATGGATGAATGGATGGAAGGATATGTGGATGGATGGATATGTGGATGGATGGATGGATGGATGGATGGATGGATGGAGGATATGTGGATGGATGGATGAATGGATGGAAGGATATGTGGATGGATGGATGGAAGGATATGTGGATGGATGGAAGGATATGTGGATGGATGGAAGGATATGTGGATGGATGCATGGATATGTGGATGGAAGGATATGTGGTGGATGATGATGGATGGAAGGATATGTGGATGGATGGATATGTGGATGGATGGATGGATGGAGGATATGTGGATGGATGAATGGATGGAAGGATATGTGGATGGATGGATATGTGGATGGATGGATGGATGGAAGGATATGTGGATGGATGGAAGGATATGTGGATGAATTGGCGAACAGCCAGTTGGTCAGATAGGTGGAGGGGCAGATGGGCGAAGGGGCAGATGGGCGGATAGATGGATAGGTGGATGGATGGATGGATGATGGATGAGACAGAAATAAATGCAGACACAAGGATTAAAATTTCCAGAAATCAGAGGTGAAGTTAATTTATTTATTATAGATAATGTCAAGAGAAAACTGGGGTACAAATGAGTGGATGGATGGATGAGCAGGCAGATGGGTGGATGAGCGGATGGATGAATGAGAGGAAAAAAAATATGGACACCGGATATAAATATTCTACAAAGTAGTTTGTGAAATGTACATTTCTTCTGGACGGCGCGCGTGTCAGATGTTTTTAAGTCTTGGTTCACGCCTATGCAGGTTGCGCTTTGAGGCGTTTCTGCATTGCATTTTGCGCCGCTTGTTTGCATTTTTGCCTCGTGTTTGATGCGTTTTGCATTTTTTTTTCTTGTTGCTAGGCAGATTTTAAAGCAAAACGCATCAAAAACGCAATACATGCTTTTCTGCAGTGTTTCCATTGAAGTCTATAGAACCAAAACCACAAGTTTTTACATTAAAAAAAGTCCCTGACCCTTTCCAAAAAGTGCACCGGGTGAAAACGCGGAGATGTGAACCTGTCCCATAGGAAATCATGTTAAAAAGATCGTAGTGAGTTTCTGCAAAATCCAAAGTGCTGTGGAAATCGCTTAAGTGTAAACCTAGAGTCAGGGGTGGACTGACAACTCATGGGGCCCCCGGGCAATAGGGGATCATGGGGCCCCTGTGTCCTTGCCCAAACTCAAAAAAGCCTATGAAAAAGGTACCAGGGGCATCTCATGGGGCCCCCTACTGACCCCGGGCCCTCGGCAGTGCCCGAGTTTCCAAATGGTCAGTCCACCCCTGCCTAGGGTAAGATTCAAGGCAAAATTGGGGTCCAAATGAATCGATGTATGGATGGATATGAGGAAGGGAGGGAAGGAAGGGAAGGAAGATAATTACAGAAATCAGAGGCGAAATTTACTTTTTATCTGGATGGCGACGTGCCAGCAGTTTCATGGTGGCATAAAAGAGTAAGAGAAAGAATTCAGATTCAAGACAACATTGGGGTCCAAATGAGTGGATGGACAGATGGATGGATGGATGGATGAAACAGAAAAAATACACATGCAGGAATAAAATTCTAGAAATGGAGAGTTGAGGTTTCCTCTTCGTCTGGATGGTACCATTTTCAGCAGTTTTGTGGTGGTGCAAAAAGTATAAAAGAAAGACACTTCATGGCTTCAAGACACAACGAAGGGTCCAAATGAGTGGAAGAATGGATGGATGGACGATCGGACAGCCAGATGTGGGAATGGATGGATGGATGGATGGGTGGATGGGTGGATGGATGGATGGATGGATGGATGGATGGGTGGATGGATGGGTGGACAGATGGGTGGGTGGATGGATGGATGGATGGACAGATGGGTGGATGGATGGATGAACAGATGGGTGGATGGTTGAATGGATAAGACAGAAAAAATATAAGAATGGTGATGTGCCAGAAGTTTTGTGGTGCCACAAAAAGTATAAGAGAAAGAATTTAAAGATTCAAGCCAAAATGAGGTCCAAATAAGTGGATGGATGGATAGATAGATAGATATGTGGAAGGATGGATGGATGGATGGGAAGATGGGTGGATGGATGGATGGGCAGATGGATGGATAGATAGATGTGTGGATGAAAAAGAAAAAAGAAAAACTACAGTCATGGATAAAAAAAAATTCCAGAAATAGAAAGGTGAAATTTCTAAATGACAAAAAAAAAATAAGAGATTCAAAGCAAAATTTGGGTCCAAATGAGTGGATGGATGGATCGCTGGAAATGTGAATGGATATATAGATGGATGGACTGACAGATGGATCGATGGATATGGGGATGGATGGAGAGATGGATGGATATGTGGATGGATGGATGGATGGATGGACAGACTGATGGGTAGATGGGCAAATGGATGGACTGATGGATGGATGAATAAATGGATGGATAGATAAATGGATGTATATGTGGATGGATGGACGGACGGACAGATGGATGGACTGAGGGGCAGATGCAAGGATTAAAAATTCTAGAAATGGAGAGTTGAGATTTCCTCTTCATCTGGATGGTACCATGTCAGCAGTTTTGTGGTGGTACAAAAAGTATAAAAGAAAGACTCTTCAAGACACAACTGGGGTACAAATGAGTGGAAGAATGGATGGATGGATGGATGGATGGATGGATGATCAGACAGCCAGATGTGCAGATGGGCAAATGAATGGATGGACAGATGGGAAGATTTATTTATTTCAGGTACTTATATAGCGCTGTCAATTTACGCAGCACTTTACATATATATTGTACATTCACATCAGTCCCTAACCCTCAAGGGGCGTACAATCTAAGGTCCCTAACCCTCAAGGGGCGTACAATCTAAGGTCCCTAACCCTCAAGGGGCGTACAATCTAAGGTCCCTAACCCTCAAGGGGTGTACAATCTAAGGTCCCTAACCCTCAAGGGGCGTACAATCTAAGGTCCCTAACTCACATTCATACATACACATACTAGGGACAATTTAGACAGGAGCCAATTCACCTACCAGCATGTCTTTGGAGTGTGGTTGGAAACCAGAGTACCCGGAGGAAACCCACGCAGGCACAGGGAGAACATGCAAACTGCAGGCAGGAGGTGCTGTGGCTGGGATTTGAACCAACGACCCTAGTTCTGCCAGGCGGAAGTGCTAACCATTTAGCCACTGTGCTGCCCGTATATGGATGGATGGACAGATGGGTGGATGGATGATCGGACAGTCAGATGGGCAGATTGGTAGATGGGCGAATGGATGGATGGATGGACGATCGGACAGTCAGATGGGCAGATGGGTGGATGGGCGAATGGATGGATGGATAGATGGGTAGATGGATGGATGGACAGATGGGTGGATGGATGGATGATCGGACAGTCAGATGGGCAGATGGGTGGATAGGCGAATGGATGGATGGACAGATGGGTGGATGGATGGATGGACAGATGGGTGGACGATCAGACAGCCAGATGTGCAGATGGGTGGTTGGGTGAATTGATGGATGGCTGGATGGATGGACAGATGGGTGGATGGATGGATGGATGGATGGACATATGGGTGGATGGATGGACAGATGGGTGAATGGATGGACGATCAGACAGCCAGATGGGCAGATGAGTGGATGGGTGAATGGATGGATGGACGATCGGACAGTCAGATGGGCAGATAGATGGATGGATGGACAGATGGGTGGATGGATGGATGGATGGATGGATGACGATCGGACAGTCAGATGGGCAGATGAGTGGATGGGTGACTGGATGGATGGACAGATGGGTGGATGGATGGATGGACGATCGGACAGTCAGATGGGCAGATTGGTGGGTGGGCGGATGGATGGATAAAATTTATGAATTTATTATTGATATTTACTGTACATATCGCGGACAGTTTACGCAGCACTTTACATATATATATTGTACATTCACATTGAACCCTCAGGGGGCGTACACTGTAAAGTCACATCTAGTAAAAGCTATGACTTGTATGTGGCCCCTTTACAGAGAACACAATGACATCAGTGTCACATTGGTCCCTTTCCTCCATTTTCGGGCCCGCACCTAGCCCAGGATGCCGGTGATATCCTCCAGCCCCATCGCCTGTCTTTCCAGATCAATAGCGTCGTCCCTCTGCAGGGCACGGAGATGGAAGACTCCAGCAGGAGCCGAAGAAAGTGAGAAACTCGCCTCGTCCTCTCCTGACAGGTCCTCCGCTGTGATGGCTGAAGGCTACGTGAAGGATTGCCACAGTTGGCTCGTTAGGATCCCGCGCAGGTAGGACACTGTGTACCTTTCTTCTTCTCCTTCCACCGCTCGCCCGCTGGAAGTGTGATTAACAGGATTGTTGTGAGGTTTGCTCTTCATGAAACAAGGGTGACCCTTCTAAGTTATGGAGAGAAAATGTTATCAGATTCTGTGACAGAGATGGCCGCCGGCTCGATTCTCAGCTCAGGTGGTGAAGAGTACGAGTTGGGCTCTCGGGTTCAGAAGACGCTCTTCATCTGTGCCGTGTCTCGGAGAAATTTGTCTTCTCTTTCTTCTGGTTGATCCGGTCAAGATAGAGATAGCCAGGAACTTGATATTGGAAAGTGAGCCCCCTTTTCTTTTTTTGAAGCCCCATTCACACTTCATGTAGCAGGAACACATGTTTTAAGTCACCTTTTTTTTTTTTTTGCACAATTTTACCACATTTCTGCGCATCAAACAAAGGGTGGTCCATTCACTACGTGCGATAAATGTGCCAAAGAAGGTCCTGTACTTTGTCGGGATTGGAGCGCTGAGAGCTATTCCGGTGCACGTTGTCACATGTTTGTGGGACATTTTTTGGACCTTTTTTTTGTATGGGGGGGGGGGCATATCTTGGGGTCCCTTTCAGGGGCGGACTGACCATTTGGAAACTCGGGCACTGCCCGAGGGCACAGGGTCAGTAGGGGGCCCCATGAGATGCCCCTGGTACCTTTTTCATAGGCTTTTTTGAGTTTGGGCAAAAACACAGGGGCCCCATGATCCCCTATTGCCTGGGGGCCCCATGAGTTGTCAGTCCGCCCCTGGTCCCTTTACTTTTTACGGGGACTTCCAGATTCCAATAAGCACCTGCAGAATCAACAACCACCAGGTAAGGGTTGTAGGGAAGAGGCCCTTGTCCTCATCAACATGGGGACAAGGTGTGTTGCCATGTGGGAACCACCTGGCAAGGCACCCCTCCTCCATACTGAGGACATATGGCCTGGTATGGTTCAGGAGAAGGGGGTACAGGCTCCCCCCTTTCTTTTCTACATGCTGAGACTAAAGATCTGGTATGGATTTTTAGAGGGACCTCACACTTTTTTTTGTGGTGCCCCCAGGGGCGGACTGACAACTCATGGGGCCCCCAGGCAATAGAGGATCATGGGGCCCCTGTGTCCTTGCCCAAACTCAAAAAAGCCTATGAAAAAGGTACCAGGGGGATTTCATGGGGCCCCCTATTGACCCCGGGCCACTCGGGCAGTGCCCGAGTTTCCAAATGGTCAGTCCACCAAATGGTGCTACCCCAGCAGAACAATTTTGGTTAGTTACCCTGAACCGAACACTGATTTCATAGCTTTCAAATATTAAAAACAATTTTTTTAAACTATTTTTGTTTATATTAAACTATTTTTTTTTTAATGCAAAATATCCCAAAAAATTATATATTTTTCTTTTGCTCTTAAAGGTAAAGGAGAGATTTGAGGTCTTTTTGACTCCAGATCTCTCCTTAAAGAGGACCTGTCCTGCATATTTCTATTACAAGGGATGTTTACATTCCTTGTCATAGGAATAAAAGTAATTAAAAATTAATAAATAAAGAGACAGTGTTGCTTTTTCTCTTTTTGGGGGGTGTCTTGATTGACGTGGATTTGCATCGCTGGGCGGTGCGATTGACTTTTGGGCAGAAGAGGCCGTTGTCCTCATCAACATGGGGGCCTCATTTAAAACATATTGAACCTGTACGAACCTTAGGTACCATTCACATCTCACAATTTGGGATCAAGGGCGATTCTGCCCACCATCCTAAATCGCAGCCAGGGGTGGACTGACAACTCATGGGGCCCCCAGGCAATAGGGGATCATGGGGCCCCTGTGTCCTTGCCCAAACTCAAAAAAGCCTATGAAAAAGGTACCAAGGGTATCTCATGGGGCCCCCTATTGACCCCGGGCCCTCGGGCAGTGCCCGAGTTTCCAAATGGTCAGTCCGCCCCTGGTGCTACCCCAGCAGAACAATTTTTGTTAGTTGCCCTGAACCGAACACTGATTTCATGGCTTTCAAATGATGTACATGAAAAAAAAAAAAAAAGGTGACTTTCTATATTTTTTCTGAATTGGCTTTTTAATACATTTTATGACATTACATTTAGAAGAAGAGAAATTTCATTTTCCAGCTGACTTTTTTTTTTTTTTTTTTATTGGATGAGATGATAATGATGATGACGCCAAGAAATTGGGTTTACCTACAAAGTCTAACATTTTCTTTAGAGCAGATGGCATCCAGAACAGAGGTAATTTGAGTGAAAATAACTATTAAATTTTATAATTTTCTTTGCTCATAAAGCCGGCATAATCATGGAGAAGCAGCTACTGTGGCCCATTAAAACGAATGGGCATTCTGTCTAGTCAATCTTTTCGCGGGGGCCCTCCGCTAGGCTCCAATTATTCACCATTGTCTTTAGGATATTATAATCGGCTATGTGATCCAGGAAAAAAGGACTCGGCGCACGCTTTACTAACTCCACGCGCCGGGGAAGCGGTTTATATTTTGTCGGTAACAAAATTGCACAGATGTGGGTAGTTCTAGCGATGCCCAACCGTTCTTGAGTGCCTCTTAAAGATGAACTTCGGGAGAAGCAAATATTGTCTAAATGTAAGAGGCGTCTGTATTCTTACTTGAATCTTAAAGTGATTGCAAAGTTACAATTTAAAAAAAAAAAAAAAAATCAAAATGTCATACTTACCTGCTCTGTGCAATGGCTCTTCTCGGATCCCCCACTGGTGCTCTTGGCTCCTCCGCAACTTGCTATGAGGTCACTGGTGTGTGCTCGCTCCTGAGCCCCACTCTGTGTGTTCATAAGACATACAGAGTGCTGCTCAGTCCTACTCCCAGTCACTCCTCACTAGCTGTGATTGCCAATGGCTTCCGATGCTGTGTCCAGGGGAGGACTGACCATTTGAGCACTCGGGCGCTGCCCGAGGGCCCGGGGTCAGTAGGGGGCCCCATGAGATGCCCCTGGTACCTTTTTCATAGGCTTTTTTTGAGTTTAGGCAAGGACACAGGGGTCCCATGATCCCCTATTGCCCGGGGGCCACATGAGTTGTCAGTTCGACCCTGCTCCATACAGTGATGTATGTGCCTAAATCTAAATGATGCAAAAAAAAGTCTGAATGTTGTGATGTAATCTTTCAGCCGGTGAACCGTAAGTGCCAGCAATCCTTAATACCAGGGGCGGACTGACCATTTGGAAACTTGGGCACTGCCCGAGGGCCCGGGGTCAGTAGAGGGCCCCATGAGATGCCCCTGGTACCTTTTTCATAGGCTTTTTTTAGTTTGGGCAAGGACAAAGGGGCCCCATGATCCCCTATTGCCCGGGGGCCCCATGAGCAGGGGCGGACTGACAACTCATGAGACCCCCCGCTCAATAGGGGATCTGGTGGTCCATGCTGTAGTGTGGCCTGGTGGTCCATGCTGTAGTGTAGCCTGGTGGTCCATGCTGTAGTGTGGCCTGGTGGTCCATGCTGTAGTGTGGCCTGGTGGTCCATGCTGTAGTGTGGCCTGGTGGTCCATGCTGTAGTGTGGCCTGGTGGTCCATGCTGTAGTGTAGCCTGGTGGTCCATGCTGTAGTGTGGCCTGGTGGTCCATGCTGTAGTGTGGCCTGGTGGCTGTTAGGGTTATCACACCCACAAGAGCTGTTGACCATCAATAATTTGGGGTCTGTAGCTCCAATAGGCAAATTGAAGTTCATGTTTGCTGGAGGTGCACTGGAGTTGTATTAAGCAGGGGCGGACTGACAACTCATGGGGCCCTTGGGCAATAGGGGATCATGGGGCCCCTGTGTCCTTGCCCAAACTCAAAAAAGCCTATGAAAAAGGTACCAGGGGTATCTCATGGGGCCCTCTACTGACCCCGGGCCCTCGGGCAGTGCCCAAGTTTCCAAATGGTCAGTCCGCCCCTGGTATTAAGGATTGCTGGCACTTATGGTTCACCGGCTGAAAGATTACATCACAACATTCAGACTTTTTTTTTTTGCATCATTTAGATTTAGGCACATACATCACTGTATGGAGCAGGGTCGAACTGACAACTCATGTGGCCCCCGGGCAATAGGGGATCATGGGACCCCTGTGTCCTTGCCCAAACTCAAAAAAAGCCTATGAAAAAGGTACCAGGGGCATCTCATGGGGCCCCCTACTGACCCCGGGCCCTCAGGCAGTGCCGGAGTTTACAAATGGTCAGTCCGCCCCTGCCCATGAGTTGTGAGTCCGCCCCTGGCTGTGTCTGAGCCAATGAGGAGGGAGAGAGCCAGGAGAGCTGCTGCTCTGGTCAGTGGATTGAGATCGGCCTCAGGAAAGTATCAGGGGGACTGAGTGAGGGAGCTGCCCACTGAAGGTTTGCATGAAGGTAAAAAGCCTCCAGCCTTTAGAACCACTTTGCGCATTTGCACATGCAAAGTGAATGATTGCCATACTGTTTGTAATATAATTATCTGCTGATCTGACCATTTTATTCTCCAGGGCATGTGCTTAAAAAATATAATGTTTTGGGGTTCTCAGTAACAAAACAATAAAAAAATACAGATTTTTGTAGAAATGTCAGAATTGGTCCGGACTGGAACTATTTTTAAGGATTTAGAGTTTTGCTAGCTGCTCTATATTATGATCATCTCCTATGGTCGTCAGCTCCATCTAGTGGCTATATTTTCTTTACATTCCTCGTAAAAAGCAACGAAGAAGAGCTTACAGAGGACAGCAAGAGAAAGGCCACCTACACCTATGCATCAAACAGGAACACTGAACCAGCACAGCATAGAGCAACCAAGAAGAGCTTCCAGAGTACAGCAAGAGAAAGGCTGCCCACACCTACTGTATGCATCTTCCATTAAATCAGATAACATTAAAGAAGAGTCAGAGGATAACATTGGCCACCTACACCTATGCACCAACGTAGAACAATGAACCAGCAGTACAAGGAGCAACCAGAGAGCTCCATGAGGACCAGAGAAAGGCCCACCTACACCTAACATGCAACCAAGAGTTTCCATGAAGGCCACCTAACAATGAAGAACAATGAACGAGCAGTACAAGGAGCAACCAAGAAGAGCTTCATGAGGACAGCAAGATAAAGACCAGCTACACCTAACCAGGAACAATGAACCAGCAGAACATGAAGTAACCAAGAGCAGGTTCCAGAGGACAGCAAGAGAAAGGCCATCTACAACTATACATCAACCAGGAACAATGAGCAAGCAGAACATTGAGCAACTAAGAAGAACTTCCAGGACAGCAGGAGATAGGAAGTTGGTGAAAAGTAATATATGCAAACTGGCTTGGATGCCCTGGTGTATGAAATGCCCCTGTTCTTGTTACAATGACTTCCAGCCTCTAGACATGTGCATCATTAGTGACAAAGATCAAATATCTAATACCAGTGCCAGAGTGAACCACTCAACTGAAGTTTTGGGCTTTGGACAGAATTTGGTTTTACTCTATTTATTTATGTATTGTTTGTGTTTTTTTCCTGCACTAGCTTTTCAAAGCAGGTGGGTACAGCAGCTCCCCTTTAAGGTGCCTCCTACTGGAAGAATGTTGGACGTTTTGGCAGGACTAGAGAGGGTGGAGGGTTAGAGA